AAAGAGGAAATACAGAAGTTGTTGAGAGTCAAAGCATCAGTAGTCCCAGTGGTCACTGGAGCACTTGGTGCTGTGACACCAAACTGGAAGAGTGGCTCCAACAGATCTGGATGTCACTATGGGAAGGTGATGTTTATAAGACTGAGTTTGTTGTGGCTCCTCGGACTGATGAAGTCTTTTGGATGAAAGACGAAATGTTTCAACAAAAAACGTCCAGAGGACCTGACATAACGTAATTGCCGGTCTATAGAGCGCACCAGAGTATAAGCTGCTCACACTTAATTTAATAAAACACAGTTTTGTACATAAATAAGCCACGTTTGTGTATAAGCCGCAAGTGTCTGAGTAACTGGGTTTCTTTTTCAGAAACAGATCATGTCTAATTCTGAATGCTAGGAAACACCTTGTAACTGTGACTTTCCTTCCCTCCATTGACTATGGTAACATTATTTACATGAACGCTCCTACAAGAACCCTGCAGATGTTGGATGTTGTCTATCATGGTGCACTAAGATTCATAACTGGCTGTGATTATCGTACCCACCACTGCACCCAGTATTCATTGGTTAACTGGACATCATTAACTTCACGCAGACTCTCTCACTGGTACATTTTCATCTTTAAATCACTTCTTGGTCTGTTGCCTTCATACATCTCCTCCTACATGTCTCTGCGTGAGTGCAGCTACAGCGTGCGCTCTCAGAACATTATTACCTGCAGTGTTCCCTCAATGAGGACTGAACTAGACAAAAGGGCCTTCTCCTACTCCGCTCCTGTTTCCTGGAATATCTTACTAAAACATCTGAAGCTCTCGACCTTGACCTCTCTAAGTGACTTCAAACATCTGTTAAGTTCATGGCAAAAACCAATGCAGACATGTTCCTGTTTTTAGCATTTTACATTGCTTTATAATGTAGCTGTTTTTGTTTCATTTTTATATTATTTCCTCTATTTACTTTTCCTTTTATATGCTTTTTAAAATTTTTCATTTACCCTTTATTTATCCAGGTAGTCTCATTGAGCCACGAGAACTTATTTTCAAGAGAGACCTGTTTAGGGAGCAGATGGTGGGGGTTAAGGGCCTTGCTCAGGGGCCCATGGTGGGGCCAATGAGGGTGGAGGGAGGCCGGTGTGGGTGTTTCACCTTTTCCACCCACATTTTGATGTTGACGTATCGGGAGTTGAACCTGCGACTTTCCGATCACAGGCCCATCTTATAACCTCTGCGCCACCACTCCCCCTCTGTCTGTATCTCATCTGTGTTTTTTGTTTAAAACAGGTCTCTCTTGTAAATGAGTCCTTGTGACTGAATGAAACTAACCTGCATAAATAAAGGATGAATGAATGTTTCTGTTGTTCAGTGTATTGTTTTGCACTATTAGTGACTAGCGGCTAGTCACTAATAGTGCAAAACAATACACTAGTAAGATATACGCTAGTCACTAGCGTATATCTTAGTTTATATCTTAGATCCTTAAATATAGTTTTATTAAATTCTTAATATTTTTGCTATTTTTGGGTGTAACTGGGACCTTGAGTACACAATTTTGTTCCACCTCATGTACCACGTGATGCGAATGACAATAAAGAACCTTGACCTTGACGTTGAGATCTCAGAAACAACCTCAGGTCTCTGCTCAGAAGAGCTCAGTTCGAACAGATACTGAACAGAACCCTCAAACTCCCAGGCCTCTGGTGGAGGACCTGAGTTTGAAGTGAAGTGGAACCACTCAAGCAGGAGACTAGGACAAGCTACAAGTTATTTTTATATGAAGCTGGGCACACCATTTCTTTCCACCCATCCATCATCTTATTCCTTTTTGGGTCGCGGGGGTCACTGGTGCCCATGTCCAGCTCACTGTGCAAGGGGCGGGGGACACCCTGGACAGATCTCCAGTCCATCACATGGACACATAGAGACAAACAACCATTCACTCTCTCACTCACACCTAGAGACAATTTAGAGTTACTAATCAGTCTAACATGCATGTTTTCAGTCTGTGGGAGGAAACTGGAGTACCTGGAGAAAACTTACTCAGCATGGAGAGATTATGCAAACTCCACCCAGAAAGGCCCCTGGACCGGGATTTGACACCAGGGTAACCTGCTCGCTGAGAGGCAGCAGCTCTACCAACTGATCCACCGTGCTGCGCCATTTCTTTCTTTTATTGATTAATCTATGTTTTGTAATGATTTCTCCTTTCTTCCCATCCATCCATCCATTTTCTTTACCCGCTTATTCCATTTTTGGGTCACGGGGGTCGCTGGTGCCCATGTCCAGCAATCACTGTGCGAGGAGCGGGGTACACCCTGGACGGGTCGCAAGTCCATCACAGGGCCACATAGAGACAAACGAGACAAACAACCATTCACTCTCTCACTCACACCTAGGGACAATTTAGAGTTACCAATCAGCCTAACATGCATGTTTTTGGTCTGTGGGAGGAAACCGGAGCACCCGGAGAAAACCCACGCATGCACGGAGAGAACATCAAACTCCACCCAGAAAGGCCCCTGGACCGGGATTTGACACCAGGGTAACCTGCTCGCTGAGAGGCAGCAGCTCTACCAACTGATCCACCGTGCTGCGCCATTTCTTTCTTTTATTGATTAATCTATGTTTTGTAATGATTTCTCCTTTCTTCCCAACATAATTTATTTTACCATCATCTTATTACTGTCTCCTCTATTTCATAATATCTGAGCTCATATTATTGTGCTGTGGTATCACAAGGCACAACATATTTAGGATAATTTAGGTACAAGACCACATAAAAGATTTCCTTGTTGGTCTATTTGTTCACTCCATGAACATTCATAAATCTAATTATGTTGCACATTTCCGCAGAAGTCAATGAATTACATTTACAAACTCTCATCAGCAGTGTTGAACAAGCCAATGGTTTTGTCAGTGTACCAATGTGCTAACATAATGTCAAAGTAGAAAGACATCAGCAATGATTTTAGTAAAGCAGCTCCTCAACCCTACAGAGGTCAGAAGGTCACTTCCAAACTACTTGAACTCCATCAGTCTATGGTGATACAACTATTTACAGGTATTCAAGACAGATGTCCATCTTCACAGGAGTGGACATCCCTGAAAATTCACCCCATGGTCAGACCATGCAAAGCTCAGAGAAACAGTGACAGTATATCATCACAAGCACCTCCTACCAGCTGTCAGACCATGAAGTATAGATGGAAGTACAAAGACAGCTGAAGCTTGGACCAAACTGAGTCGTGAAACAGGACGATCAGCTCAATACAGCAGCAACAGAATGACTGACAAGGAGTCAGTGTTGTCCACACCTCAACCTGCCTGAGAAGATCAGCGTTTAAATTAGTTTGTAAGACTCAGAGAACTGAAACACTGTAAACTAGAGTGGGTCAAATTCCCTTCATCGTGTGAGAAAAACGTGAAGATATAAAAAAGGTTAAATCATGTCATCTAGACAGTTTCTTTTAGGAAGAAACGTTTCGTCTTCCATCTGAAAGACTTCATCAGTCTGAGGCCTGCCAACCCAGATCTGTCTTATCAATAGCAGCTTGATGTGTTTCAAACCAAACTCCTCTTGAATTCCCAGAAACTGTTTTTAACACATGCAACCAGAGCCCATCTGTCCAAAACAATCAACCATCAGTGCATATCAATCAAAGGTTTTAGGCCAGATGACCAACTTGCTGCTCACAGAAACAGTCAGCTCAATCATCCAGGTAGATAAATCACAAAAAAAGTTAAATCATGACATGTGGATGGTCCCCTTGTTTTGCATGTGTTAAAAGTAAAACCAGTTTCTGGGAATTCAATGGGAGGTTGGTTTGAAACACATCAAGGAGGTGCTATTGATAAGACAGATCTGTGTTGGCAGGCCTCAGACTGATGAAGTCTTTCACATCAAACATTTCTCCCTAAAAGAAACTTGTCTAGATGACATGATTTAGCCTGTTTTGTATTTATCTACCTGGATGATAAATTATGTAAAATTAGTTTGTAGTTACGTTTCCCCAAATCTTTCTGCTTTTATCAGGTGAGATTATCCTTTGGTGGTACAACGTCCTTTATTGTATATTTAAATATCAATAGCCCTGCCACCTAAAAACACTATTTTCTACACATGAGGCACAGTATTATGTCTGCAACAGTACTTTGTTATTTTTCTTTCCGCTCTGTTAGGTACATTTCGTACAGTGCACTGTGTTCAGTCCTTCAGTTTTCAGGTCCAAGCCTGTAGAAGTCTGCCAACAACTCAAGCACATTTTCTATTTACTCCCCAAGTTTTACAACGTGATCCCTGCGGAACATGGAGGTCTGAGTTTGTACCGCCGTGGGTTAATGTGTAACAATTTCTTCACAAAGGGCTGGTTTCCAGTAAGCGCTGCAAGGCCTGCATTAAATGTGGAAACTCGAAGACTTCCTCCTTTTTCAAGGCGGGACCAGGAAAAGTCACATGCTGTTCTGGAGTGTTAGGATATTAATAAACTTCAAGCTATTTGTTCAATCTGATTAAAACGGAAAAACATAGGGAGGGTACCAAACTACAAGACTGCTCTGTAACAAAAAATCTTATTTTTACATTCATTTAGCGTTAAAATTCACTATTCTTTAGGGTGTTTAAAAACAAAAAAATGTACATTTACTTTCTCTTTCCTTTGGCAAAAGTGGAATTTCCAGAGCTGCAGCAGAAAGCAGCAGCAGGTCACAAAGAGGGCGTGTGAGGGGAAGATGACACCAGAGAGAAGAAAACAGCAGGAGGAGGTCGTCTTCCTGTGTCACTGCCGGCAGCAGCACCGTTAGCTCTGTCTCGCTGCTTCTACTGTCCTGAGAGGCCAAACCTTCTTGTCTTTGGTTTAAAAAATACACCGAGGTAAGTTTAAAATGTCATGTTTTTATACTTTGACACTTTATGTAAAACTTTTTGTAAGACAGGAAAACTTGCTCACTTCACTTTCTCTTTAAAGGCTTTGTGTCTTCAGAGTTTCATCTCTTCTGGTCTGGACTGGTTTCATCAGAACTATTGTTGATGATGAGCGTGTCTCAGACCCTGGAGACAGAGGAGGACCTCCTGTCTTGTCTCCACATCAAGATGTACCACCCGCAGCAGAGTTCTAGAGGTCTTTATGGGTCCCTCCCTTTGGGAACCAGGAGACGACACTCAGCCGAGGATCCCCTCAGACTGGGTCGAGACTCTGGGTCCTGCACCTACGCTCTACTGGACCCCCGGGTGTCCCGCAAACAGCTGTGTCTGTCTGCACACCGCTCGGCCCAGAGTCCAGACCTGCTGTTCTCCGTCCAGAACCTGAGTCAGAGAGGGAGGCTGTCCGTGAACAGCTCGGCGCTGGACTACCTGGAGAGGATGGACCTGCCAGACAAGGCTCTGGTCCGGTTCGGGGAGTACGAGATGCTGATCGTCCGCGAGTCTGGGGAGGCCAAGGGTAATTTTGAGGTGCAGTTTGAGGTTCTGGCAGCGCCTCCGTCCAGAGAGACGTGCACGTGTGTGCCTGGTCTGGGACCAGTGATGGACACGGGCCTGATGGTCAGAGAACTTGGACCCCAGGAGACCGACGACACCCTGATCTGTTACTCATAACCAAGTATCGCTTCTTAGACACACACCTGTCAGAACTACACACTGCTGAGCTCCACTTCAAACAGCTGTGGTCACATCTGCAGTGACGTCACAGATCCATGTGGCACTTTGTTACTTTCATGTATAACTAAACTACACTAGAATGATGACTTGTATTAAAATGACTTCCTAAAGTTATATGTTACAATCTATTTTACAATCTCACAATCGATTTTGATTCAGCAAATTAATAATTTTGTGCAACAGCTTTAACGTTCCACTTCAGATATTATAATTCACTCCAATATTCAAAGATCTCTCGGGTTTATCTGTTGTTAAACTGAGCATCTTAAAAATATCCCTCTTTCCTTACACTGTTATGTTGCCTCCTGATGCTACAGCTGTTTAAAATATTGCTTTACCCTATAATGGCAAAGTGGAAAAAAAAAAAAACCTAATCCATAAGACAAAACTCCATTCCAGACACTTGGAAAACAGCCTTTGTTCTTCCTTTGCTGAAGGGAGGTGACCCCACCTCACTGAACAACTATCAACCAATCTTTAAACTCTGCATTTTAGCCAAGGTTCTAGAAAAACTGATAAACTCTCAAACCAAAAATTATCTGGACTCATTTAACATCTTACCTCCACATCAATCTGGTTTCAGGGAACAACACAGCACAACCACTGCTTCACTGAAGGTTCTTAATGACGTTGTTGAAGCACTGGATGCTAAGGATAAGCAGTTAAACAAGGTGGTTGATTTTTCTCCAGGAACATGAATGGACATAAAGGGACTTCCAGAGGTTTTTTTCATTCAACATACAGGTTAATCCCATTGAGCCTCGAGGCCTCATTTACAAGAGAGACCTGATTTCAACAAAGAATGATGAAAACAATGGACAACAGCAACAACAATAGACGGTTATAAAATGGCAGAAATATTTTTATTTTTTTAACAAATAGGATGGCTAAAAAAAGTAACAAAACAGCTAGATTATAAGGCGAATGTAGAAAACTAAAAACAGGAACATGTCTGCATTGTTTTGTTTTTCATGAACTTAACAGATTCTTAAAGACACTTAGAGAGGTCAAGGTCGAGAGCTTCAAATCTTTTTGTAAGATATTCCAGGAAACAGGAGCAAAGTAGGAGAAGGCCCTCTTGCCTAGTTCAGTCCTCATTGAGGGGACACTGCAGGTAATAATGTCCTGAGAGCGCACGCTGTAGCTGCACTCATGCAGAGACATGTAGGAGGAGATGTATGAAGGCAACAGACCAAGAAGTGATTTAAAGATGAAAATGTACCAGTGAGAGAGTCTGCGTGAAGTTAATGATGTCCAGTTAACCAGTGAATACAGGGTGCAGTGGTGGGTACGATAATCACAGCCAGTTATGAATCTTAGTGCACCATGATAGACAGCATCCAACATCTGCATGGTTCTTGTAGGAGTGTTCATGTAAATGATGTCACCGTAATCAATGGAGGGAAGGAAAGTCACAGATACAAGGTGTTTCCTAGCATTCAGAGTTAGACATGATCTGTTTCTGAAAAAGAAACCCAGTTTAACTTTCAGTTTCTTTACCAAGTTTTCCACATGGAGCTTAAAAGAGAGATGTGAGTCGACCAAGATACCCAAATATTTATAGGAATCAACAAACTCAATGGGGACACCATTTGAGGATGAAATCAGAGGAAGAACTGCTGGGACCGACTTTTTATTTGAAAAAGCATCCCTTTGGTTTTGTCGGCATTTAAGACAAGTTTGAGGTGGAACAAATCTGTCTGGATGTTGTTGAATGCAGATTTCAAAAGCTGGAAAGCCTTATCAACTGTTTTAGCTCAACAATAAACAACGGTGTCATCAGCATAGAAATGTAAGGATGCATCAGGGATGTTTTGATCTACATTACCTATGTAGATTGTAAAGAGGGTGGGTCCTAAGATTGAGCCTTGTGGTACACCATTGTTGACTGTTAAATAACTGGAGGAAGTACCATTATGTTGAACACATTGCCTCCGATCTGAGAGATGGTTAGAGAACCAACCGATTGTGTGTTCGGAGAAACCAGTTTCTGAGAGTTTATGACACAAGATGTTATGATCCACAGTGTCAAAAGCTTTAGACAGGTCTAAGAAAAGTGCAGCACAATAAGGGTGCATTCACACCAGCCCTGTTTAGTCCGCTTTAATCAAACTCTAGCTCGATTTCCTAGAAAGTCCGGTTCGTTTGGGGAGGTGTGAACATGCCATCGAACTCTGTCACGGAACAGAAAGGTGAATTCTGGCCCGGGCTAAAACCTAGGTCTCGGTCCGGTAGAAGAGAACTCCAGCGCAGTTCGTGTACAGCGTGAATGTAAACAGACCGGGTCCCGCTCCACAAGCAGGAAGTGGAGTACAGCGCAGGGCAAACAAACACACATTTCTCTAAACATCCATCCATCATCCATTATCGTTTACCCGCTTCATCCATTCTGGGTCACGGGGGTCGCCGGTGCCCATGTCCAGCAATCACTGTGCGAGGGGCGGGGTACACCCTGGACGGGTCGCAAGTCCATCACAGGGCCACATAGAGACAAACGAGACAAACAACCATTCACTCACAACTAGGGACAATTTAGAGTTACCAATCAGTCTAACATGCATGTTTTTGGTCTGTGGGAGGAAACCGGAGTACCTGGAGAAAACCCACACATGCACGGAGAGAACATGCAAACTCCACCCAGAAAGGCCCCAGGACCGGGATTTGAACCAGGGACCTGCTCGCTGAGAGGCAGCAGCTCTACCGGTTGCGCCACCGTGCTGCCTCTGCTTAAACATACTACATAAAATAAAATTATTTCTACTAAAAACTAGTCTGTGTTTTAGAAATTCTTGAATTAAAAATATCTAAATTAACTGACCTATTTAAGATTTTTTATTTATTTATCCACATTTCACAAAAAAAAAATCAATAAAATATTTATTTTACAGCTATTTTGTGGGGGAGGGGAGAAGGCATTCTCCGCCATTTGTATGCTCAAAATAATTTATTTTAATTTTTTTTTATAATTTCTTAAAAACTCTAATCCGGTGTTTTGTGAAGACCTCCAGCCCACCAGACCCTTCAGATCTAGTAGCCGAAAATTACGGGCGTTTTCAATGAAACTTACACAGTTTGCTTGCTTGGTGGCTTTTTTATTATTATTATATTATTATAATTATTTTCTTTATATTTTTACATTCTACCTGAGGTAGAAACGCTACTTTCTAAATCGTTTATACGAGTGAGCTGCAGGAGCACAGTACACCCATTAACGGCGGCCTGCGATGGGAATAAACCAACAGCAGTCAGCCGCGGCGCCTCTGATGCTGCAGGCTGCATGCATGTGAAACCGCTTTTTACTACTAAACGTTTACTTTGTCACATTACAAGTGTGCTTTTGCTCTTTACATTCAAACTAAAACAATTTTGTCAGACAAGATGAGAGGAGGCAGTGTAGTCTACATTTTTCTAGTGGGTATACTGTACTTAAAAACCAAAGGACACCAACGTAATCGTAAATTTATTTTGATTTTAAGCATATTGAACATTTCCAAATTTCTCTGATGTTGTTCTCTGATATTTAAACAAATGTACAACAAACTTTGTACAACAGTTGGCTTTGTATTAAACATGTTTTAAACAGTATCAAAGCAAAACATGTTCAAGTATTAAATAAGTGTAGAATTATACAATAATTTGCTGGATAAGCGAATGTAATAAGTGCTGCATTTGTACACATCGTTTATGAATGTCTATTGTTGTCTTTGTTGTCTAGTGTTGTCATCACTCTTTGTTAGAATCAGGTCTCTCTTGTAAATGAGTCTCTGAGGCTCAATGGGACTAACCTGTATAAATAAAGAGAGAGAGCATCCAGGTGTGCAGTGGAGAACATCCTGTGCTCCAGCATCAACGTGTGGCATGGAGGCTGCACAGCTGCAGAAAGAAAAGCTCTGCAGAGAGTGGTGAAGGCTGCACAGAAGACTGTTGGAGTCAGTCTCCCCACCATCACAGACATCTACACCTCTAGATGCAGGAAGAGGGCCACCTGCATCATGAAGGACCCCACTCACCCAGCACACACAGTTTTTGCCCCACTCCCCTCTGGAAGGAGGTTGAGGAGCATTAAGTGTAGAACCACTAGACTGAGGAACAGCTTCTACCCTGAGGCTGTTAAACTCATGAATCTCTAACCAGAATAATCACTGTGAAAAATCACATCGTGTTGCTGCTGATCTGTTTCATGTTGCTGCTGATCTGTTTCATGTTTATGTGTTCATGCGTTTTCATCTGCTCACACAGACTCATGTTCGTGCTGCTGTTAGACGTAATGTTTTTATGCTATTAATGCTTAGTGTATTTTTAGTTGATGTTTTTCTTAGTTTATATCTTAGAAGTTATCATTGTTTTTCTTTCACATTTTATTGTTGGATGTAACTGGGACCCTGTGTACATAATTTCGTTCCACCACATGTACCACATGAATGACAATAAAGAATCTCTGACTCTGACTCTCTAAAGGTTGAATGAATGAAAAATACAGATAGATTGTTACAGAAGCATTTAAGTGCCGTTTAACGTATCAGTGACATGTGTCCAATGATATGTTACATATCGCTGGGCACTTTTAAGTGGGTATACTGAAATTTTTAAGCTTTTTCTAGTGGGTATATTCCGTATGCCCGCGTATCGTGTAGACGACTGAGAGGTGGAACTGGCAGCGACCTCCGGAGTCAAGGTCGGCCTGACGCATGAGCGGACTAAGGGCCCCATGGCCACTAAGGAGCCCCTTAAGTGGAATTTATTTTTATTTTTTTAGTGATGATTGATTTCTACATGATTCTATTACACACATTTTCAAAAACAAAACAATAATATATATATATATATGTAACCAGTTGGTTTATTAGTTTCTAAATAGTGTTTATGTAAAAGTCGTTGTAAATTCCCACCCATGTTGGGCCCATGAACGCACCTAGCCCCAGGTCGTTTCCCCACCTCCAGGAGAGAAGTTGTAGATTGAGAGGAGCAGCTTCTTCTGCAGAAAGGTACATTTTAAACTCTGATAAAGTTGTTAAATCTTAACAAAAACAGCATTACCCTGTCTGAAGTTTATATGGGCTCAGTTTTTAT